CTAAGTAACTCTAATGAACTAACAAACTCTAACTAATGAACCAACAAATGAACTCTCTAACTAACCAATCAACTAATGCTAATTAACTAACCAACTAATGAACCAACAAATTCTAACTAATGAACTAACTAAATCTAACTAATGAATTAATGAACTAACTAGCAAAGTAACTAATGAAAACTCTGTAACCATCTAATAAACTAACATTAATTAACTCTAATGAACTAATGTACTAACTAACCAATTAACTAACTCTATGTAACTCTAACCAACTAATAAACTAACTAATGTTAACTAACTCTAATTAACTAATGAACTATAACTAACTAATTAACTAACTCTAAGTAACTCTAACTAACCAATAAACTAACAAGCTAAGTAACTAATTCTAACTATCTAAGTAAGTAACTCTAACTAATGAACTAACTAACTAACTAACTCCTAACTAACTCTGAGCAACCCAGAAAAGAGGCACATTTTTACCTGTGCAAAATGTAGGTGTGTCATTGGTGCTGGGGGGGGGAGACAGGTGGGCACCTTCCCTTCCGCAGGGCCCGGTGCCACCCGGGTGACTCTCTCTCTCCCCCTCCCTCCCTCCCTCCCTCCCTCCCTGCCAGGCGGGCCCGTCTGCGTGCCAACCCGCTTGGACTCGGTCGTCCTGCAGGGCCCCAACGGGCAGCGCCTGGTCCAGACGCTGGGGGGCTGCGGCTGGCAAGGGGCCTCTTGCTACCGGGTGCCCCACTGGCAGCATTACTCGGAGGTGGTGCTGAGCGCGGAAGGGAAGAAGACGGAGCAACGCAAGGTCTGCTCCTGGGTGTCCCCCTCCCCCATTGCCCCCTGCCCCAGCGTCCCCCCAAGGGTGACTCCCCACAGCCCCGCGTGGTGCCCCAGTCAGCCTGTGGGCTCCTGGGGTTAGTTTAGGGGAGAAGGAGGAGATGGGGGGCAATCCAGGGGGGTCCAAGCAGCATCCCCCCCCTTAGGCTGCTTTTCCCAAGAGGAACTATCCCACCCACGGAGTTTGTTAGGAAAATCTGGAATCCCTACACAAACTACGGGGCAGTTTTGAGCTTCGGCTGACCGGAAGGGCCTGGGGGGGTCCCTTCTGGACAAAGGGCCGGTCGGCTCAGAGCTCTGGGCCAGAGACTGCGAGGAGGAGCCCCCTCAGTCAGGCATGGTCTACCTTCCCAGAGGCCCAGACCTCAGCGGAGGCTGCCCTGGGTGCCGCTGGATCGGTTGGCATCAATGCCAGGAGGGAAGAGGGGCAGATGCCTTGAACTGGGTGACTTGGGGACAGCCCCCCCCTCTCTCAGCCTGGCCCACCCCACAGGGTTGTTGGGGTGGGGGAAAAGAGGAGGAGGGTGGGCAGGGGGTGTGGGGGGCAGGCTAGGGGGAGGCAGAGGGCACAGCGCCCTGGCCCACTGGGCAGAGCTTGGTCCGAACCTCAAAAAAAGGGCTGGTAGCATTTCCAGACGGGCAGGTCGGCTAAGTGCCCGCCCAAAGGGGTGTTGTGAGGTCAGACCGAAGACTTTCTCCCAGGGGGTGCCCCCCTTACCCATCCTCCCCAGCCCCATGGGCCCAGGGACCCTTGAAAGGGCTGCCAATGACTGACGCAGCAACGGGAACGTGGGAATGGCAGGAAAAGGACTGATGCCCTTTAGTGGGGGGGGGTTGTGGGGGGGGTGGGAGACCCCACAGGCCAGGCCAGTTCTGGGAAAGAGAGGAGCCCCCCCCCCGCTCGTCCCCCCCCAGCCCAGTCAAAGGAATCCAGCCGTTTTTCTCTGCTCTTTGTTTTGCAAATCTTTCAGGAAATGGACGTGGGACGGTGCTTAGGACGATGCTCGCTCAGGTAAGGCAGCCCAGGTGGGGTGGGGGACACGTGCAGGTGCACACACACACACACACAGCCCTCCCTTTCATTTCCTCCCGGGTGTGTATTGGGGTATTAGGGCCGGGACAGACAGAGGGCTGAGAGGGGGGCCTCCAATACCCGCCCCCCCATTTGCTCCTGGTCTGGAGGTGTCAACTGAGCCATTAGCCCCCCCCAAAGAGAGAGAGAGAGAGAGTGCCAGGCAGGGGAGGGGGCGTGGGGGGGGGGTCCGCCGTCCTCGGGGAAGGCCCCGACTGACCGGGGATGTGTGAATGCTGGAAATTCAACTCCTGGGGAGGAAGAGAAGCGATGGAGAAGGACAGGAAGTGGAGTCTTCCACAACATACAATTCTCTCCCCCTCTCCTCTTCCTACACTCCCTCTCTTTGGGGTGCTGGGGGGAGGGGGGGGCCTTCCTGCTTTTTACCTTCATCTCTTTTTCTTTGTCTCATCTGCCTTGCCAGGACACTTTTCCTTTCCCTTTCCTCTTTTCCTTTCCTTTCCCCTTCCATTCCCCCTTCCTTCGTTCTTCCTTCCTTCCATCCATCCATCCATCCATCCATCCATCCATCCAAGAATTGAAGGTTCCTTCCTTCCTACCCTCTTCCTTCCTTCATTCTTCCCTACCCTTCCTTCCTTCCTTCCTTCCTTCCTTCCATCCATCCATCCATCCATCCATCCATAAAAGAATTGAAGGTTCCTTCCTTCCTTCCTTCCTTCCTTCTTCCCTACCCTTCCTTCCTTCCATCCATCCATCCATCCATCCATAAAAGAATTGAAGTAACCTTCCTTCCTTCCCTCCTTCCCTCTTCCTTCCTTCCTTCCTTCCTTCCTTCCTTCCTTCCTTCCTTCATTCATTCATTCATTCATTCATTCATTCATTCATTCTTCCCTACCCTTCCTTCCATCCATCCATCCATCCATCCATCCATCCATAAAAGAATTGAAGTAACCTTCCTTCCTTCCCTCCTTCCCTCTTCCTTCCTTCCTTCCTTCCTTCCTTCCTTCCTTC